ACCGCTGTCGGCCGAAACACCCCGTCCAGCGGTCTGTCCAGAGCGGGTCTGCTGCCAGTGACCTCTGTGTCCCGCCTTTGAGGACGGCCGCCCTGCCCTGTGTCCCCAGAGGGCCCTGCCCCAGGTGTCCCACTCCAGGCGGGCGGACGGCGCTCCTGTCCCAGCACGTCCCCCGGTCCTCGGGGGGGGCCCCTGAGGCCAAGTGGTCTGCACTCACAGGCCCGTGTCCCTCTCCCAGCAGCGCGCCCCGGGCTCCCACCGCTCCCACGCTCCTCGCTCTCATCCGGTTCTCGGCTTTTCGGTTTGATTCCCTGTTAACACGTGGAACCCTTCCGGTTTGTTCTGTCGGGACGTCGTCGAGGTCCTGGCAGCTGTAGGTGGGTGTGTCTTGCTAGATTTGGGGAGTTTTTAGTTATTATTTCTTCGAATGTTCTTGAGCACGCGCTCTCTTCGACCTCCTTCCGGCATTCCGGCCACGCGAGTGCCAGCCCTCCTGGCCTCGCCCCGGGCCCCCGGGCCCCGGGCGGTTGCTCTCGGCTCACATCCCGTGATTTTGCTGACTCACGCTCAAGCGCGCTGACTCATCCTCTGTCTACGTGTTCTGCTGTTGATCTTCTCGGAGATCACTGACCAGCATTTGGTGTTTTGTGTGACAAAAAAAGTCCCACTCAGGTTCTCGGCATGACTATCATTTTTGGAGAACAAGAACTATTTTCAACAATATGGAAAAGGGGCAAGAAAATGTAATCTTTTAGTGGTGGCCACACACCCCCACACCTCAGCGGTTTTTATTTCCTTCCCATGACTTATTTTTCCTCCTCAAGGAATTCAGTAAAACTTGTATTTGATTAGATCCCTCTAATAAGAAACATACTACTACAATTTATTTCTACTCATTGCCTTTAGGAATAAAGCAAGTAAGAAAACTTGCTAGAAGGGATTTATTTGTATAAAACACCCGGCACGAGGCACACACACAGTAGTAGCATGAAAAACATGACGGGGGAAGAACTGGACGGGTGGGTAAATGGTTCTTCCCCAGACACACAGCGTTATGAGCACTATTTAATACTATTTAATACACCCTATGTTCCCAATTCTGAGCATCCTGCTGTGAAGTCTGTATGCAGGTGTATTTTTTTTTTTTTTGCCTAGAGACTGACTCCTCCTTAACTGTGTGGGCTTCACGAAGCACTAGAAATATAGGCCACCTTAGAATGCAACCAAAATAGGAAACTTTGCAGAACATTATCTTGTTATTCTCCTCCAGAGACGCTGCCTGTTCCACTGTGGTTTGGCCTGTGGTTTCAGAACACTGTGCACACGGAGCAGAGGGCCCACTCGGTTACGTAACGCTGCCCCCTGCAGACGCCCGCCCCGGCCGCGGGCCCCAGCCAGCCCCGCTGTGCACTGAATACATTCAAAATGGCAATTAAATTCTACTTCAACATAAGTAAGTGCATCAAAGGCACTTCCTCATGGAACGGCCTTGACTGGGGCCAGCGCCGTGCCTGCCCTTCAGCGGGGACTCTCGGCCCTCCCTTGGGGCCGTGGGGGAGCAGGACCCGAAACCCAGGTGCGGCCGTTTCCCAGCTGCCACCTCGCCGGCGGCCTTTGACGAAGTCGCCCTGGGAAGACCACGGAGGGCGGAGGAGCTGCAGGAGGGAGGGCCCTGGGGCTGGACCCGGCTGGGGGGACGCCGAGGTGGGGAAGAGACCCCACCCTGCAGGCCGACGGGGTTTTTACGGGAGCTCGACATGCAGTTCTCGTGGCTAACAGGATGCGGCCCAGGATGGCCCTGCATGCAGCCCGACACAGAGTCGTAAATTTACTCAAAACCTCTTTTTTGCGCATCCGTTTTCTTAGTGTTTGTGTACTTAACGCGTGGCCCGAGACGACAACTCTTCTCCCAGCGCGGCCCAGACACGCCAGGGGGTCGGGCATCCCCGGGAGTGTGTTCCGTCCTGAGACTCAGGGGCCACAAAACAAAACACGGAACTGAAGAGACACGCACGGCTCAGCGGCGACACTGGGAGGTCTCCGCGCCCGTCCGTCCTGAAGGACACGCACGGCAGCTGGAGAGAAAACTGCACGCTGCACCGCCCGCCTGCAGGGCGGCCCGGGGCCTCCGCCTCCCCCCCGGGCGTGGGCACGTAGCTCTCGTGCGCGAGCAAACGCGCCCGCGGCACGGCTCCGCTTCGGCGGCGGCGTGGCAGCCCCGAGCGCCGGTGGGGACGGGGCGGGGGAGGGGACTGGAGGCGGCGGGCGGGGCCGGCGGCGCGCGGCTGTGCGAGGCAGTGCCGCAAGTCCGCGCGCTGAGCTCACCCAGGTCTCAGGAGCTCCACCTGGAGGTGCCCCGGGGAAGTCGCACGTCCACACAGCGGCGTGGGGTGGGTGCGGGTGCTCTCCGCAGGGCTGTTCGCGTCAGCGACACGTGGACGCAGCCGCTGTGTCCGCCAGCTCCCCGACGGGCACCTCGCTCCATCCCGCGGTGCAGCGTCTCGTGGCGGGGAGCACGAGACCGTGCGTGGTGACCGAGTGCACGGACCTGGGGCCCACCAGGCTACGGGAAAGACGCCGGTCCGGAGGGCTGGTGTCACTCATCGTGCGGTTCCGTTCGCACGCACGTGCAGCGCAGGCGCTCTGGGGCTACCGGAAGCGGTTGTCCTGGTGAAGGGGGAGGGGCGGGAAACGGGGCGTGGCTGCGATGGGGTGACGGAGGGGTTTCAGGGCTGGCGGGGGCGCCAGGGGCTCAGCTCTGCGGAGAGGCTGAGAACGGCTGCCGCGTGCACGGCACGCGGTGAGCGGTGCAGGCGCCAGCGATTTCCCACCGAGACCGGTCACCGCCGGAAAGGGCCGGGAGTGCGCGGGGGCGGGGCCATGCAGACGCACGGTGGACGTCGGCCTTCTCCAGCGTCTTGTCCAATCAGCAACGAGCCGGTGCTTTTGCGGTGCTCCCGTGAGGCACTCTGCATCACCTGGATTATCAAATAGCCCTAGAGCATTTTCATTGTTTCCACCCAAAATGCAACTCCTGGCTCGCTGTGTTTGGTGTCTCTGTGTCCATCTCGGTGAACGGCAGGGTGGTGCCCATGCCAGTCGCTCGCCACCGCCCCCCGATCCGGGCACAGCCCCCCCCCTTCCCGCAATGCTCACCTGAAGGAAAACGCCCCGGCCGGCTGGCCGGCTGGCTCTGGGGGGCCCCGAGGCCTGCTCTTCACCCAGTGACTCTCCAGGGCAGAGTTACGCTGCTTTTGGGGTGCTGGGGTCAGAGTCAGTGGGGCCCCGATGTTTCAAGCTGCAGGGTGACTCCCCTCTGTCCCCCTGGAGCCCTGGTGGGCGCGTGGCCGGACACCCAGGCTCTGCTGCGGCCCAGGGGGACCTGAGAGGTCCCAGACCCACAGACACCGCACGCTGGAGGCGCCCCAGGGCGGCCCAGGGGAGACGTCAGGGGAAGCGACACGTGAACGGGGCCTCGGAGGAGGGACAGTTCACCGGGAGCTGCGCTGTCACCCGAGCCGGGCCCTCTCCTCCCCTCCACGTTCAGGGACCTCTGAGGCCCGGGGCTCTGCTCTCCCCGGTGAGAACCGTTACCACTCCGGGGGTGCCCGCCGTTCCCCAAGCGCGACGCTGACTGCCCTGCGGCCCTGCGTGGTCCCGGAGGGGGGGCCCCCCTGGACTCGGATGGGCACGCTGAGCCCCGGCTCCGGCCGTGAGCTCCGGTCTGCGTGGGGGGCGGGGAAGGACCCTGCACGCCCGCCGCCCTGCGCACTGCCGGGAGACGCCCTTCCCGCCGAGCGCAGCCCGTCCTCCCGAGCAGACCATGCTGGCCGTCTTCCGGGGCGCCGAGGCTCGGGGGCTGTCCCCCGCAGCCCCTTCCTGCAGCGGTGTGCGACCCTCTCCAGCCCCGGGCGAGGTCTCCAGGGGCCTGCAGGCCGCCCAGCTCTGCCCCCGCCCTCAGCACACGGCCCGGCTGTGGGTGGGCAGCAGGGGGTCTCGCAGGGTGTGCACGAGGGGCCGGGGCCTGCACCCGGCGCCCTGAACATCTGTGCAACAGTGGGCAGTAATTCCGTGACGGCACCGGCAGGGAGTGAAGGGGACAGGGGACAGTGCCCCATGGCACACGGAGGGGACAGAGAACACGCAGCCCAAGGGCTGCTCGACCCGCCGCTTCCGCCTCCTGCAGCCGGCTGCGCGCGGTCTTCGCTGGCCGGGCTCCCTGTCCCGGGAGCACACGGATGGCTCAGGACGGGGCTGCCCCGCTTTCCGCCAGCAGTTTCCGCAAACGGGCCCCACCCCCCAATGGACACCGGCAGTGTGGCCCCACCCCGAGGGCCTGGGGCTGTGTGCACAGCAGGGCGCAGGGTGGGGTGGGGGCCCCATCAGGAGCACTTGTCCTGGCCGGCAGCCCTGCCTTGCTCGCCCCCTTCCTCGTCCGGACGGGTCGTGGGCCGGCCACCTCGAGCCCCACCCGGCTTCTGTCCTGTGCCGGCGGCCGCACTGAGCGTGGACAGGACAGCTGTGCCCTCCTTCAAGGGCCACACTCCCCGCGCCCCAGTGGGAGCAGGGGACACCAGGGACCATGACTGAACTGTGAGCCCACTCCTTTCGGGGCTGGGGCAGGATGGCTGTGCCCCCAAAACGACGCGGCACCACCCTCGGGGGGCAGCTGCCCACGGGGAGCCGCCGTCCCCAGCACCCCGGCCGGCGCAGGGCCTCCTGGGTGCAGACTACGGCGGGCACGGTTCTAACCGCCGAGGGCCACGGCCGTCCAAAGCAGCTCCCACACTCCTGGGCCTGGTGGTCAACAAACAGCCACAGGAGGCAAGTGAAACACACGGTGAACGTGGCACGGGGCGAGCCCGGAGGGACGCCCCCCAGGCGGGAGCTTCTGCGAGAACCCGACCAAAAGCAGCCAGAAAGGAGCGGCCAGGGCCTGGGGGGCGGGACCCAGGCGGACCCCACGGAGGCTCGGTCGCGGTCACACACTACACAGCGCAAGAGGTGCGAGCTTTTTATTCACTTCCAGTTATCACCGGCAGAACGAGGTCCAGCCCTGGGGAAGCCCCGCCGTCAAGCGCAGGTTTTACCGTGAAACGTGTCCCCACAAAAATACTAACCCAGGTGTGACCATGGGGTAGCACCTCAGTACACACTCAACAGAAAACCCAGCCACGCTCCGCCCTACCCAAGGAGCACAGGGAACGCGGAAACTCGCCGCAGCCGCGCTGAGTGCCGCTCCCGGCTCCGACGCCAGCTCAGGCGCCGTGTCTGCGCGTTCCCCGACCCGCCCACGACACCGTCGGAAGGCCGGGCTCCCCGGGTAACGCCAGAATGGCCCGTTTCAGACGCTACCCTTCAAGAGCTGTCCGCAAACTAAAAGCCACCCCCTGCGGTGCTCCATTCCACTGGAGTCTAGCCCGTCAGCCACCGTGAAAACACGTCACGCAGCTGACACGCCCCGGAGGGCCGGGCAGAGCCGCCGCGCTCCCTCGGCAGCGACGGTGAGCAGGGCAGACAGACGTCCGAGGAGGCGCCGCTGGCGACAAGCACGGCGGGGCGCGAGCCACAGCCCATCCCGCGGAGCCGTCAGTCCAGGGCCGCCAGGAGCCCCGAGTCAGACTCCAGGGCTGCAGGACCCGCCCCCTGCGGGAGCCGCGGCAGCGTCGGCAGCAGCAGTACACAAGCCGCCCAGTCTGCTGACCCACCAAGGCTGAGGCGTTCGCGTCTCCCTTTGCCGGGAGAGGGGACCCTCAGTGAGACCCGTGTTTACTGCCGTCGAGGGGCACAAGCTCACCCCCCTCACAGCTTCACTTGCGATCTTGTGCACCAGCGCACGCCGCTGCCCACGGCCCCCGCACGGTCCAGCGGCGTCTCTGTCCGCAGCCGCAGCTCGGGGTGCCGCGAGACGCGGCCTGGCTGTCCGGGGCACAGAGAGACCAGGGACAGCACAGCAGCTTGCCCACCTGGACGTGGTCCTCGGCCATCGCCACCGTCCGGCCAGGTTCCCACGACCCCCACAGACCTGGAGCGGGGGCAGGGGCGCCGCCCGCCAGTCCCAGAGGCCACTGGTGCGAGCTTCGAGGCATCGCCACGAGAACCAGCCGAGCTCCAGCGAGCGGACAGAGGCCCTGAGCTTAAAGCTGCTCGCGTGGACACAGGGCAGCCACCGCAACGCTGGCAGTGACAACTGTCCCAGGGAGAAGTCACAACCGCCTCCAGGTCCCTTCACCGACGAGCAGGACTGAGCGGCGCACCCAGGACCCGTGGGCCTTCCCGGTGGGAGCGGGCACACCACTGCCCCCCCGCACCGGCTTGTGCGGGGCAGCGGGGCGCCTGGGCCCCCGCGCCGCCCACAGCAACTCGCTGAGCGGCCGAGGCCACGCAGAGCTGGGGGCACACCCTGCACTTGGCTCCAAACGCCACGGTGTCCACAGGCTCGCTCCTCGCCAGGGACGCGTGTCATTAACTGCCGCAGCGAAACGTGTTGGTGAACCAAGTTAAGACAATTCGGTCTCCCACAGGGGCTCAACAGGAAGTATCTTGTTTAGCATGATGAAAGGTAACTTAAAAATATCTGCATCCGCAGTCTCCGGAAGTACAAGGCACCGACGGAGAGCAGGCGGTCCAGCCGGGGGGACGGTCCAGAAACACTGGTGCTGACGGGGCCCTGTCCTGCGGGGCCACGGCCCCGCGCCCCTCAGGCGCACGCCACGTCCTCCAGGTAGTCGGCCACGTCGCTGAGCTGGGACACCGTCAGGTCCTGCGTCAGGTCGTCCAGCTGGCGGGCGAGCAGAGAGAGGTCGGGTCAGCCCGCGGGGCGGGGCTCAGGTGCCGTCAGAACGCACCGCGTAGCCCAGTGCCTGCCGACCCGCCCCCCCCACCCCCCTCGGCTATGCCCTCCCCAGGCACCCGCCCCCCTTCTGAGCCCCGCCGCCCTCCGCCCTCCGGGAGGCTGCGCTGCTGTCTGAGCACACGGGGGGGGCGGGGGGGGCGCAGGCCCAGGCTCTGCGGGCGCAGGCACACTGGTCCCACTACAAAAAGCTGCCTCCCCCCGCCCCCGCCGTGGCTGCCATGGGCAGGCCACAAGCACTGCGGCCCCTCGGGAGGGCAGCCACCACACTGGACGGCAGGCTCTCAGAGCAGGGACAGCTTTCTGCAGCACCCGCCTGGGACCCCGAGGCACCCCCCCCGCCACACACACACACCTGGGAGCGCTCTGCTCCCTGCGTGACCCCAGGGCCCGGCTGCGTCCCCAGCACCCCCGGGCTCGCACTCACGCCTCCCCCCGCAGTGCCCCTCTGGGAGCGGCCTCCCCCTGACCCCCTGACCCCTGACCCCCCGGGCCCCGCCCCGGCGAGGCCCAGCAGCGGCACCCAGATGACGTCCTGGGTGTCCTGGAAACACCTGCGGCCCCCGGGGTGAGGGACAGCGGGGCAGGGCGCCCTGCGTCCTCACTGAGGACGTTCTCCCCAGACTGGGGCCCGGTCTCCGTCTCGGGCGTCCCGTTTTAAACCGTGTTCCTGACCGGCGTAAGGTTCTGGAGCCCCCAGGACCCCCGGGCGGCGACGGGAGCCCAGAGCCCTCCCCGGGGCGGCCCGCACCTTGTCGCTGGCGGTGGCGTCGTCCAGCCCCACGGAGAGGTCCTCCTCGATCTCCTCGCCGACGCTCAGCTCGCTCCTCCCGGAGCGGTGGCTGGTGCTGGGTTCGCGGGACACGGGGCGCTGAGTGTCCGTGTGGACAGAGCGGCCGAGCCGTCCCGCCCGCCGCACACAGGACCCTCACAGGAAACCCGACGCAACAGGGACACCAGCCGCAAGCACGCTGTCCCTGCGCCCCGCAACGGCCGGACAGCCACCGACCCGGTGAGACAGAGGCTCCTGGGCGCAGGGGTCCCGGGCAGCGAGAGGCAAGCCCGGGGTCTCCTCCCTGAAAACTGTGAGGGGCTCTTCTGCTAGAAAAGGGGCCACCCCCCTGGTGGGGGCGGGGGAGCCTGTGGAACACGGAGAACTCCCAGCCTCAGATTTGAAATTCCTCGCCACCTCCCCAACACACGCTACCTCCCTCCTAGCTAACCCCCAGCCCGCTCTCCGTGTGCAAAGCCAGCTGGACAGGAACAGCGCTCGAAGAGGGCACTGTTTTCCAGGGGACTGCGGACGACCCCCCCAGAGGAAGGGGCAGGAGAAAAGGGTCCTTCCCCTGTGGAGACCGGGCCGGCCCTGAGGGACCGCCGAGGCCACACCTGAGTGCGGGCTCCCCACCTCATCCCCCCAAGTCCCCGGACGCCCCCAAGCCCACTGCACCCCGGGGACGGCCCGAGTCTCACCCCCCCCGCCCCCGTCAGGGTGAACTTGGCGGGGGGGTCCCCCGGGACAGGCAGCACTGGGCCTCTGTCCAGACGGCGCTGCCCGCTGACGCCTGCGCGGCGCAGCCGCCCTGCTCACCTGTTGAAGTCGTCAGCGTAGTCGTCGTCCTCGTCTCCGGCCCCTGGGGTCAGAAGAAGATGCACGTCACCGTTCACACCGTTCACGCAGTTCACACATGCTTCACGCCTTACGTACAATTACACACACACACGTTTCCTTCCAATACGAGCGACATCGCGTTGTTACAGAAGAAACCTCAAGCGTCAGGAATGACGTTTTCACTGCACGTCACGTACACGCACGTGACAAAATAAACTACCCAACAGACAACACAACGTCTCATCCTGTCGTAGAACACCACTGTTTCTGTCCCCCGCGCTCAGAAGCTTAAGCTGCAGGCTTCCCGCCGCCACCGCCTGACGCTCGGACCGGGTCTCAGGCGTGCGGGGGGCAGGGCGAGCATGCTGCCGGCAAGCCCCCCGCCCCCGCCGGACAGGGCCAGCGCGAGCACCCTCGGGCAGACCGCAGTCCGAGCCGGCTGGCCCTGGGGGCCCGCTGGCCTGGGAGAGGGGCAAGCGTCCCCGGCCGTCCCCTGGGCTGGTGGCAAGGGCCCCCCGGCCCAGGGAGGACTGAGGGTCCCTGCCGCCCCCGCCCGGCTCGGGCCGAGCACTCAGAAAGGGACCCCACGAGAAGAGGGCGCCCGCTGCCAGAGGGGCCCCGACCCCCCCCCACCCCACCTTCTGAGGGGGCAGTGGAGGAGACGGGGTGACAGCCTCACAGCAGGCTCCGGGGCCCCAGAGCCGGTCGCCCCAGCCGTGGGCGACTGGCGTGTGGAAGACACGCAAGTCACGCGTGGCCCCGAGACCGAGGCGCGGACCCCGGGGGAGCCCGGCCCGAGCGGGGCTGGCAGACGGGCCCCGCTGCGCGGGCCGTGACCCTGGGAGACCAGACGCCGTGTCGATGCCCGGGCACTGCTGAGGGGCGGGCTCCGGGAGGACCGTCAGACCCGGTGGTCCTCTCTCGACAAAGGTCCCCAAGCCACTCCTGCACCCAACACGAGACCGCGAGGCCCCTGCAGTCCGGCGTGGAGGCGGCGGCACCTCTGATCTCACGCAGCCCGGTGGCGAGGGGCGGGGGCGGCGGCCAGGAAGGGGCCCCGGGGCCCGTGTGGTGTCTACCTGGCCCCCCACCAGAGGTCTGCGCTGCCCGCACGCACAGCGCCCGCCCGGCTCTGGACACGGGCACCTGTCAGCACACCGGCTCCGGGGCCCGCCCCACGGCTCCTCCTTCGGGGCGCGGAGTCTCCCGCCCTGACCCGGTCCCCCAGGGGCCCTCGGCCACAGAAAGGCGCTCAGGGCGCCCGCAGGTGCAGCAGGACCCCAAAGGGGGGTGAACTCGGGAGCCCCAGGGCCTGCGCCCCTCCTCCGAGGAGAGGAGGGTGCAGCTGAACCCACCGCCCAGGACGGGAGCCGAAATAGACCAGCTTCTCTGTCTGCGGCGGGCGGACACTCGCCCCGGCTCGCCCCGGCTCGTCCTAGCCCATCCTCGGCCGGCCCACGGGCTCGCAGCATTGAAAGGCTGGAAACAGTGCAGACAGGGGCAAAGCGACACTGCTGCGACACCGTCAAACAGAGCGGAGCGGGCTGCCGTTGACACAGAACCCCGGTTTCTGGCCGAGCAACCACCAGTCAGCTGTGTCGCCGGGGTAACTACCAAGCAGCCCAGCCCCCGGAGTGGCCGGGTGCCACGCGGAGAGTGAAGCGGGGCCCCACTGCCGCGCCGGCCGCGTCACGGCGGCAGGCGCCCCCCGCACCAAGGAGGAGGACAGAGGACAGGGCAGTCCCGGGGAAGCCACGTGGCAAAGGTGAGACACGCAGACACCGAAACACGGCAGGGCAGGCGTCCCCGGGGGCTGCCCACAGGGCACGTCCGCGGGGCAGACAGACGCCCATCCGGGCTGTGGAAGAGGACGCCAGCAGGAGACGCGGTCACCCCGCAGGGGAAGAGAATGAGCAGGGGCAGTGGGCCCGCCCGGCCGGCCGGCCGGCCGCACCCCCAGGTCCGCGAGGACAGCGGGCTGAGGCCAGCACGGAGCGTCCACACCGCGGTGCTCCCTCCCGAGGGCTTATAGGTGGCACCGGGGCCGTCACGGTGGCCCGTGTGCGGAGCTGCGTGCGGCCCGCGGCCCTGCCACTGCCTGTCCCCAGCACCCAGAGTGATGCTGGGCTGCCGCCAGCGCCCTCGGAGGGGCCTTTCTGGAGCTGGCGCAGGGCCGGGTGGAGGGGCCCGCGCTCCACGTCCACAGCCGAGTGGGCCGACGCCTCCAGCCCACCAGGGGTCTGCGGGTACCGGCCGACCGCCCCCTGCCCAGGTTTCCCCGCCAGCAACAGAGCCAGCCGCACTGCTGCGAGCCGTCTGGCAGGCAGAGCACGTCGGGCACCCCGACCAGCCAGTGTGCCCCCCAGGGCTCGCTGGGGCCGCCCAAACTGTCATCTAAAACAGGGTCACCCCCCCACCCAGCCGTCAACACGGACAGGAGAGACCCAGTTACCTAGTCCCAGGGACCCAGTTCTGTCGTTGACCAGCTTCAGGCCTTTCAGCACGGTGTTTCCTCTTCTCCCTGGGGACAGAGAGAGACACTCGCACTTGGCCACTGGAACACAGCCGTCGGAAAACAGGCCAGTGGTGTCAGCCCGACAACCGAACACTGAGACGTGATGACACACTGACCAGGGGCTGCTTCCACTGCGCGCCGCACACCCGCCCCTGCACCCCCACACAGGGGCGGGGCCGCAGCCAGCCTGCCACGCCCCCGACCCCCGGCACCGCCTCCTTAACCCCCCCCCCCCCCCCGCACTGCTTCCCTTCCGCAGCCGTCGGCGGCCTCTAGACACCCCCAGCCAGTGCTGGCCGAGAGCTGACGGGATTCCTCCCCGAAGGTGGCAAGGACCGAGAGGAAGGGGGGGGGGGCACAGCCACAGCCACAGCCACACGGCTGATGCCCCCGATGCTGACGAGCGGCCCCGGGCCACCTCGTGTGCCACGCAGACAGACACAGAACCGCACGGCGATTTCCCAGTGGAGGGCCGGGCCCCCTCCCGGAGCGCCCTCTCCAGAGGGGCATGTGCGCGCTCTGGACGCTGCGGACGGACCCCTCCGCTCCCCGGGCCACGGCGTCCACGCTCACCCCCACACCCCTGCGCTCCCCGGCTCCCCGGCCCGGGTCTCGGTGCCCTGCGGGGCGGGGGCGGCAATGGGCCGCCCTGGTGCAGCCACCAGCTCGGCGCCGGCCACAGGGACAGGCCTGACCCCGAGGGCAGCCACAGTCCAGCGTCCTGTGACGTCACCATGGCACCACAGGATCCATGACACGGGTCCCTAGAAATCAACTGACCCGAGTCCTGCTCCAGTCCACCCCGTGCCCGGGAGCGCGCCGGTGTGGCACGGCAGACAGCCGGGAGTCAACCTCCCGAGAGCGCTCCGACGGTTCAGAGAAGCAGAGCACGGGTCAGGTTAAAGAGCAGCAGCCCTGGCTGGGGTGGCTCGGTGGACTCAGCGCCGGCCCCAGAACCACAGGGTCGCAGGTTCCATTCCCAGTCAGGGCACAGGCCTGGGTGGCGGGCCAGGTCCCCAGTGGGGGGCGCGTGAGAGGCAACCCCACACTGATGTTTCTCTCCCTCTTTCTCCCTCCCTCGCCCTCTCTCTGAAAGTAAGTTAATAGGAAATAAAAGCACGGAACTCAATGTTACCCGGAAATACCTCTGAACGGTGAAGACCATGAACTGTGTCAGGACTCACACACACTTTCCCAAGGACACAAGCACGACCACACACTGCCCAGAGGGGACACGCGCGTCAGGCACCACCCCCCCACCCCCGTCTGCGGCCAGCACGGCCGGCCGGCACTCACTCACTCTCTGCGTCTGCCGGTGAGGGGGCTCCCGCGAGGGCGCTGTGTCTGCTCTGCGAGGGGGGCTCGTCCGAGCCCGAGGCCGGGCCTCCTCCGCGCTCCCCGGGCGTGCTCCTCCTGCCGGGAGAGGGAGGGACCAGCGCGCGGCTCAGCGGGGCGGCCACCGCTCCTGCCCGCGACACCAGGCCCCGGAGCGCGGAGCCCGGGCAGCGCAGAGCCCGGAGTAGCGGCTCCCTCGTCTCCACCAGTGAACACCGGCTGGGCCAGAGAGTCTGTTCAGCCCAAAGCGGTGTTTTCAGCGCACCGTGCTTTATTCTTTCAAGAAAGGGAGAAGCGCAACGGGAACACAAGAAGGGATTCGTGCCGTGGACGGAGGAGGCGCAGCGACTGGGCGGAAGTGTCAGCAGTGGCTTGTGAAGCTTCCCGGCCCTGGTCACACACTCCGGCCGCACCTCCCGCCGCTGCGGGCTGGCTGCCTGGTGCACTGCAAGACGCCCAGAGCACCCTGGCCCCCACCCCCCGGACGCCGGCCCACTCCAACACCCGAGTCAGCGAAGGTGCCGGCGAGGGTGAAGGGGGTGTCTCACTTCGTGGGAAAGACCAGAAGACCTTCTCGGGCGTCCCAGTACGACGACGTGCAGGGGTCCGAGGAGCCCCCCCGAGGCAGCCCACTCACCAGCCGCAGGTCGTCTCGGGCTTGGGGACGGGGTCGTCGAAGAAGGAGTCCCCGTCCGAGTCGCCGTCCTGCGGGCCGGGGCTCCTGGGGCTCAGCAGGGACCCGACGCTGGTGTCCTGGGCCGGCGGCTGGAGACGGCCCTTGCCGCGTGGTTCTGACGAGGAGGTGCTGGCATCGCTGTGGCTGGCTTCGCTGCCGGCCTTCTAGAAAGACGGGGGGAGAGAGAAGGTCTCCTCGGTGAAAAAATGTTAATAGGATCTCTTTGATGACAAAAAGCCATGAACACATGCGAATCCGTGTGTGTGTGTGTGTGTGTGTGTGTGTGTGTGTGTGAGCGTGTGTGTGTGGGGGGGGTCTTGCAACTGAGCGTGAGAGGCCGGGGGGCCCCACCTCCTGGGGAGGGAAAACGTCCCAGAAGGGCGTCCACGCCGGCCCTCCCTCCCACCCACGAGGCGGGGGTGCCCCGCTGCGCCCGTTCCGGCCACAAGCGCCCCGCCCGCGTCCTCCCGCGCACACACGGGTCTCCACTCCCCAAGGCCCCGCACACCCACCCTCTCCCGCTCGGAGAGAAAGAAGGCGCTGCCAGCCGAGCAGGGAGCTTGTCCCACACGAGGGTACCCAAGTGACACGAGAGCCACCGAGGGGGAGGAGGGCGTGGCCCCCGCTGCCAGCACAGCACCGGCCGTCACGGCAGAGCGGACGGCGGAGCAGCGCCCCAGCCGCCCTCGAAGGTCAGCAGACACACGGCGCTGGCGCCGTGACCGCAGTGCCGAAAGGAGCGGCGTTTCTCAGAGGCCTTCCAGCACGTCCCCCGCACGCTACGCCCCTCCGACCCCGCCCCTCCGGCACGGGGTCCTGAGCCACACGCAGCAGCACGCCACGGAGGCCGTCCCGCCCGAGAACTCGCGCACCCAGCACAACGCGCGCCCACACGGCGGGCCGCCTCACCCGTGCCCGGCGCACAGCCCGGCCCTGAGCCAGCAGTGCCCCCTGCGGGAGGGGAGGCCGGCTGCACGGACACACGGGACGGCGAGGAGCCCGAGACAGGGCTCCACACGGGGGCCGGCCTGCTTCAAACTGCGGCCCCCCGGTCTGCGGGGGGGACCCTCTGTGGGTCAGGCCGCGGCGGTCACGGGGCTCTGTGACAGTGGCCCTCGGTGCTCTGTGACGGACGCGATGACAGTGAGTGACGATTTTTCGTGAAGGCATTCACCGTGAGGCCATCTCTTCGTACATGCGAGAGGCCCACGGCGCCGTACGGCAGCCGGCGCTCAGCCCCCGCGAGCCAGACCGGCCTCACACGCTTTCCGGGGAGCCGCAGTCACGGGGGAGAGAGCTCCAGTGCGTGCCTCGCTCCCCGCCAGCATCCCGACCCTCCAGATTAGCATCGCAGAGAGAGGGGACCGGCGTCACAGAGAGGGGGGACCGGCGTCACAGAGAGGGGGGACCGGCGTCACAGAGAGAGGGGACCAGCGTCACAGAGATGGGACCAGCGTCACAGAGAGAGGGGACCGGCGTCACAGAGAGACTAACCACGAACAGGCCAGGAGCCACAAACTCCAATTACCAGAAAACGTCTCGAGAACCTAGAAAAAAATCACTTTTTCCAAACCCAAGACTTTTATCTGATCTGCTCGTAAAGAGAAACATCAAAGCCAAGGGAAGGTCTCCAAGTTTCCAAAAACTTCCTGCAAGCTGTCTTCCTGCCCACGCCTCAACCACACCCAGCGCCTACCCCCAGACCCACTCGAGGCAGTTTCTGACCCAGAACTCACTAAAAAATTTAGAAAGATAATTTTATTATACCTGTAACACACAAACACACCTAAAAGTCTGACTCACTCACCTGTAAACTAAACGATGTAGAATTCCAGAATCACAAAAACTTCTCCCCCTTCCTAAACACTCAGCCCCCCAGAGAGACTCTACTCCTCGCTCTGGAGGCACCTGCAGCTCCTGCAGGCGCCCAGGAGAGAGCCCCAGCTCTCTGGCCTTGAACTCGGAAGGGAGGGGGCCCCTGCACCCACCCGCCCGCCCGCCCGCCCGCAGCTCCGGGGCGAGCGGACGAGCAGCCCCCGGGGCCGACGTCTCGGGTCTGCGGCAGGGCTGCGCAGCCGGCCGGGAAGGGCGGCGAGCGCAGATGGCGGCGTGTGCTCACCACGTGTGCTCACACACCCAGGGTGCGTGTGTGCGCGTGTTCAGTGCGTGTGTATGCACGCCCACGCAGTCAGGGATTGTGCGTGCACACTCAGTGTGCACGTGCGTGTTCACACAGCCAGGGTGTGCGTGTGTGCATGCGTGTGCAGGAAACGACTGGTTTGGCCCAGCACACCCCGAGGTGTCTCCGAGAGATGCCGAAACACCCCCAAACACACCCAGGCGGGGACCCCCGCCGCCCCAACTCAGCACAAAGCTGGGCGTATCCAAGAATCTCGAGGACGGGGAGCAAGGTTTGAAGAAAAGGCCCCTTCCCTGAGAACCTGGGGGAAACACACCTCAGGGGACACCAGCTCTAAAACCCCCCCCGGAGGACTGGCTGCGAAAGGCTGGCCTCGCACACTGCACCTCCCGTGATGACGTACAGCACCCCGGCTAAGCGTCGCGAACTGGAACGTGACATCTCACTGCTTCTCCAACCGAGGGGGAAACCCACGTCGGTGGGGCCTGCCCAACAGAAGTCTGCTCCAGTTTTTGGTCCTTTCCCCGACAGGATGACAGGACGGGCTGCGGAGGCGCGGGGAGCGCCCCGGAAGCACGTGCTGGTGGCGCCCACGGGAAGCCGTGGACTCGGCGAGGAGACACCCGCTCGCCCACAGTGCACCCACCTCGTCCGTCCCCAGCTCTCCGTCGCCCTCTGCTGGCTCGCCGCCAGAACAACACCCAGAAACGCACCTGCTGCGGCTTCCCCCGAGGCCAAGGGGCTCAGAAGCCTGGGCTTCTGCTTTGCACTCGGACAGGTTCATGGCCCTCGGCACAGTCAGGTGCACGCACACGGGACGGGCTGACCTTCGGGTTCGCTGTGATGCCACCACCGCTCCTCTGGACACAGCCCAAGGTCTCCGGCCGTGCCACCGGCACCCACGCCTGCAGCACCGGAGCAGCAGCACCGAGCGCCCCGCAGGGCACGCTGCCCCCGCCCCCCCCCCCCCGCCACTGGCCGCAAGCGGAGGGCGCCCCCTAGAGCCCTGCCTGCTGTGTGCAGCCCGCGTGACCCGGCAGCATGGCAGGGAGCCGCCGGCACCAGCGGAGCCTCAGCCAGCACGGCAGACACCCGCAGAAACCTGCCCTGTGGGGGGGGGATCCCTCGGTGCTGCGCACAGACCGGGGTCCGAGAGGATGGGGGGGGCTCCCAGAACTGAAGGGCGAACGAGCTCGTCTTCCCCTGAGCACAGGCGCAAACCAGCGGGCGAGTGACCCTTCCAAGACCCCTGCCATTCAAGCTCTAAAGGGGGTCCGTCTACCGGCCGGCAACCTTCGGGGGGTGGGGGGTGGACAGGAGCGGCTGAGGCACTGGTCGCTGCAGCAGGCGCGCCCCCCCCGCGCGTCCCCGCCGGGCCTTGAGGGCTGTGGCTTCACAGCTGCTGAGCCCAAACACGTCCGGAAGGAGACGGCTCAGCCTTTAACTTACCCGCCAGGACATATCGAGTGGTTCCGACCTCGGATTAAGGCCATCACGTCAAGAATGTGTACGTGACCGTCCGCTCGAAAGGTGAGTACTGCCCACTGTCTCGTGGCCAAACACCAAGGAACCCCCAGACAAAACTGACTGCAGCGTCAAAGCACAATGGTGCTGCGGCTGCCGCCCGGGCGACAGCTGAGGGCCGGGTTGTTCTCTGTCCCACGCCCGGGGCGCGGCCACGTGCCGACGCAGGCGAGGGGGGGCATGGAAGGAGGGGCCCCGCCGGGAGGCCGCCCCGCCCCGCCCTCTCGCACGTTACCTGCGCGCCAGGCTGCGGCCCGCTCGGCTTCTTCTGGCCCTGGCCTCTGTACCTCGGTATCTGAGCGTGAGAACAGAACAACAGTTGACCACGGCGCAGAAATCTTCAAGGGTAAAGTAACGCGTGACGGAACGGACAGGGATTCCCACTAGAAAACGCCCTAAAAACGGAGACACTGACCGTGTTCCCTTCTGAAACGCACGTTCCTGGCATGAACGCCCTTCCCCAGCAGGCTCCTGGTGAAAGGCCCCGCCCAGCAGCTGTGGGCCCGGGGGGGGGTCACCCCGAGGCGCCGGCCCTGCACACCCACAGGCTCCCCCCAAGCAGCACAGGGCCCGGCCTCCGCCCCTCACCTCCCAGAGCCCCGCTGCTCCCCCTGGAGCTCCGGCCTGGAAAGACACCACAGGCGCCGGCTGGGCTAGAGCCCCCGAGGGGGTCAGTGACCCCCCAGGGCACGAGGGAAGCCGGTGCGAAAAGGGGGAAGAAGGTCTGGAACCCCAACGCACATCACCAGGACCGCGGTGCCCCTCAGCCAGGGCCAGCGAAGTTGGGCTCTGGTGTCCCCGCGGGCCACCGCCACACGGGCCGGGGGGCCCTGTGACTGCTCCCTGGTGGGCCTCGGCCGCTGCCAGCAGCCCTCCCCCAGGAACGCTCGGAGCGGCGGGTTCCGAGCTCCCCACCTCCCAGCACTCGGGCCGGGGGCCAGGGGCCCGCGGCACGAGGAAGGGTGTGATTCTGGCCAATCTGAGAGGGAGACGGGTGTGACTGTGGCTCGTGCGCACTGAGGGGCTGCCGCCTCGGCGGCGGTCAGCGGTCATCGTCTCACCTGGCGGCCGCAGGGAGAGGAGGCCAGCGTGCACCCGGCTCCACAGTCAGGCGCTGCGTGTTCCAAAGGCCTGTGCGGCTCACCGGCTGCAAACCGCTGGTTTGGAGCAGCATTTCCTAAGCGACTTAAAGCCTCAGATTCTTGTCGTGATTCTTAAACCTCAAACAAACTTACGTAAAGAAACCAGAAGGTGTAAAACGGTCATCAATCTCTGATCTCGAGGACACGCCAGCTGTGAAAGGTCAGCATCGTCCGCCAGCTGCTCTCAGAGCTGCTGAGGAGGAACCCCCAGACGGCTCGGCGCGCCGGGTGCGAGGCCGCGCTTCGGGGCAGGTGAGAGCTCCAGCCCCCCGAGGGCGGAGCCTCAGACAGAGGCTCTCCTCCCGCAGTCGCCCCCAGGGGCTCTGGGACTGGACTCTGGGACCGGCCCCAGCAGGCCCGCCCCCCAGGGCCCAGGGCAGGCCTGGAGAAGGGAGTGGGTGCCGACAGCACAGGGCCTCCATGCGGGGGAGGGCACCGTGTCCGAGGCCTCTGCCTGGGCACTGAGACCGTGAAGGAGACCCACAAGGCCAGGCCGCAGCAGGAGCCGCCCTCGGGGCTCCGCCCACAGCTGCGCCCACCAGCCCAGCTGCACCAAGACCCACCCCTGCACTGTGGTCGGCCTTCACTCTCCGCACAGCTGGGGGAGTGAGCGCAGAAGGTGGTCACCACGCACTCCGCTGCTCGCTGGGCTTCGGGGAGACGGCGGGTCCCTCGGCTCGCCCGCCGTCCCACCGCCACTGGCACGAACACAAGGGTCTCGGGCTCCCATTTCGAGCGACCCCCTCAGTTCATCTCCCGCGCTCCCAAGCCCTGGGAGCCAGCAGGCCTGCACTTCAACAAGGCACCGACCACGGGCAAATGCGACCCGAGCACTTGGACTTTCCTACAAACCCTCAAAGTGGCCCGCTACCACAGACGCCCGTCCTGACCGACAACGCCGGACCTGGCCGCCCAGCCGCAGCGTCCACCACGGCCACTCCGAGCTCTGGAGCCCGATGCGCCCGAGTCCGAATCTGTGTGCGGCACGTGAGCGCAGCTCTCTGCTCCAGGAAGGGGGAGGGAGGGTGGGCAGCACCCACCGGCCCCACTGCCCCGCTCTCTCCCAGCACACCCTGCCCTGTGACACGGAGTCCGAGGCCTGCCGATGGAGCCGCACGGCTCCTTCCCACACGCACGTCACCGGAAGGAGGACGGCACCGTCCAGGGACACGGCGGCACCCGCGGCACAGAGCGGCAAGACGAGCAGCGAGTAAGACGGAGAGGAGCACCCCGCCCCACCCCGACTCACCTTGCTGGGGCCCGAGTGCTCGCTCGCAGCCCCCTCCGGCGGCGCGGGGGGAGGGTGCCCGGCAGCAGCCACGTCCAGCAGACCCTGCAATGTCCAGTTCACAGTTAACACACCTGACAACAACCCGCAGCCAGAATCACGCCGCAGCGGACCTCGAGCGTGCAAGCCCACTGCGCACGCGGGCACACTGAGCGCTCCCAGGTCCCTGTCCACACCCTCGCCAGGTCTGCCCCCACTTCAGCCTAGAGAAGCGGAGCGCACGTGGCACCTGACCCCTGCTGGGCGTTTCACCCCTGCCCTCGACGGGGGCCGGAAGCACACACCCGGCCGGCCGCCCGGGGCGGCGCAGGCCCGCCCCCCCACCCCCAGCCCGAGCGCGCGGCTCGCTGGAAGCAGCGAGCACGCGTGAGCAGAGGTCAGACCACGGCTCCGGTGAACCGCCCCACTCCCGCACAGGGAGGGTAAGAGTGAGAACCTCGACGGCCAATCAGAAACAGAGAAACCAAGCAAAACTAATAGCTTAAACAGCCCCGGGTCTAGCTTTAAAAAGCCTTTCAGTTCAAAAACTAACCGGCCTGCACAGGGGCCCCGCAGTGTTTGAAACGGTACGACGGTGACAGCTGGCTCCGGAGTGGGCACCCTCGGCCCTCCCTCCACCGCAGGCCCACGACGCCCCCGAGGTGCTCCGCCCCCCCCATCCCCGAAGGAGGTGGGGTGGAGAGCGGGGCCGAGCCGCAGGATGGGGCGGCGGCAGCCTCGGAGCACCCACGTCGCCAGCTGTCACTGAAACATGCACTTCTGCGGCCCGAGCGCATCTCACTGGGTTTCTACTGGAACCTGGTTCGCTACGCACGCGGGACCGCACACGGGACCGCACACGGGACCCGCGGGCTGCACCGGGCGGCCGCACAGAACTCGGAAAGCGGCGCAGACACAGCGCGGGCCGCACTCACCTGCCCGCCGGCCGGCCCCTCCGCCCTCTGCTGACAGCGTCTGAGCACCTCCAGCAGCAGGGGCCCCCCCGAGGCGCCGTCCGCCTCGGCGATGCCCAAGTCCCGGGCCAGCTCCTCCCGGCCGTCCAGACCTTGAAGCTGGGGAAGGAAGACGGGAAAGTGAGCTTTAAGTGTGCAAACACGCAACAAAATTACTTTCAGGGCTTAGAGAAAAATATCTTCAGAACTTAGAGACATGTCTAAACCCAGAGACTGTTTTTCTAATGAGGGAAATGTCCATTTTTAAAAGTTCTGTACAGTGGGAGCCGCCATGCACCCTGCCTGAGGCTCCGCTGACCGTGCTCACCGGACAGGACCAGGGGGCGAGCCCCCAGCGGATGGCGGCGCCCCCTCCCCCGGGGAGCGCAGAGTCGCCCGGGGTGTGGCACGCACACACAGCACGAGGCCGAAACACCCGCCAACTGCTGTTCGGGACTTTGTGTGTGGGAAGTGCAAGCTTAGATTTTTTTATTACCTTTCCTTTTACCAGTCGCTACGTTCCAAGTCTACATTAACAGGGGGCCTAACATCGCAACAAATTAACTTTGTGACAACATTCCCTTCCGATTAAATACGCCAGGGACCCCGGTGCCAGCGGACGGCTCAGGCAGTGTTGAAGAAAAATCACCTCCGTGCACGACACCAGAAGTTGTCAAATGTTAGCTTTCAGCTTATCACGAACTCATTTCATCAAAGGCTTCAAAGGCGAGGGAAACCGTCCTTCTTACCGTGCTAGTTTCAGGCTGGAAAACAGCCAAGGTAAAGTCCAGGTTGAAGAACTGAAGGAACTCCACCACCAGACTAGCCACCAGACGGCCTGCAGAGAGAGGGAGCGGGGCGGTGGGCGAGTCCTCCGGGGGCCCGCGGCCCGGGCACTGGCACTGGGACGCAGGACGCACTGGGTAAGGGGGGGAGCACCGAGTGTCCGGTCTCCACCGTGTACCGACGAGGCCTCCCAACGGCCCAGGGGGGCGATGGGGTCCCTAACCCTGGAAGTCACGTCAGTCAGCGTGACACTTCCCCAGTGGGTCACGGTGTCCTGCGCCCTACAGCCAACAGGGGGGTCACCCGCAGCGTCCCAGGACCGACAACGTGGGACGCGACAGGCAGGCAGCTGTCCAATCAAATGGGAGTCACAGGCTTCAACACGGGCGGGAACCCCCGACTCCTCCCCCGTGGGGCCTGGGTTTGAACATTCAGAGACAGACGCATAAACAAGAGCAAGCGAACATCTTACCATCTTTTGTGTTTAAAAACTTTTTCAGGCTTTCATTGACTAAAGGAGTTTTGTTCTGTTGAAAACATGAAATATTGTGTAAATATCATGTGTTTATCATGAGAACACTATAAAATTCAGATCAAAGTGTAATTTTTTGGCCAAGATGTAAATAAAATATTGTCACCCATAAAATTATGGTGAACCCCATTCCACACCTATTGATTATTAAAAGAACTTCTGTATTACTTCATACCTCAGTTAACAAAACCATATATGATTTGTATTTTTAAATGTTTTGTAAATTGCTCATTGAAGTGCTTTAGAAGCCAGATCTTTAAAAGCGCACATGAAATAACACTGAATTTACTTATAGAGACAACCAGCCATTCCTTCCGCGACATGAAGTCTGGCTTGGCTGCGCCACCACCCGAGCCACGCCCACCAGGAACAGGACCCCAGTGGGCGCGCCATGCCACCCCGGCCCGTCAGCGCAGCGGGACGACTTCCCGTGGTCGCAGGCCGCGGTCTCTCCTCGTCAGACACTCCCGTGGACGTGGACGAGCGGACAGCACGTCCACACGCCGAGGCCTCGTCGCGCAGGCCACACGGTCGGGCGGAGCGGCCGTCTCACACACGGCCGACGGGACACGGTGCGGCCACTCCGGGGAGCAGGCTGCAGCGTTTGACAAAGCTGAAGGTGCCCCCACCGTGCAGTCTACCCCCCCCCCGTGATTCCTCAGGAGCAGCGCGAGCGAGCACAGGGCCCAGCCACGGACGCGTGCGCGCGGGTGCTCACAGCCGCCGTTCGTCCGAGCTGGAGACGGGAAACCAGCCCGGTGCGCACCCACGGGCGAACGACCCCGACAGCCGCACGACTCACGTGGGGGCCACCCCGCGGGAGCCCACAAACACGAGTGGCCGCAGGAACGAATCTCAAACCGACCAAGCTAAGTGAATGCAGCCGGACACGCGCCGCCCCCCCCCAAAAAAGAGAGTGTGTCCTCTGCGATCCCGCCTGTCTAGCTGCTGAAGACACCTGGGCTGCCCGGGATGGGGGTGGGGGCGACACAAAGGGGTGTGGAGGGGCTGAAGGCAACTTCTGGGGGTCGAGGGCACGTTTACTGTCTTGAGGGTTTCCTGGACGCACAAACACGTTCAAGTGCGTCAGATTATACGTTTTTAGTATAATGTGGAATTCATTGCAGGTCAATTATACCTCAACAGTTTTGTTTTTTTAAAACTCAAAAATGACACGGAGGGTAAAGATCTCAAAGGTCCTCAGTGTGCTGGTCTAGGAACCGTCAGGACGCGGAGTTCATGGAAACACTCGAGGAGGGGGAGGGGCGAGGTCGGGCGTGCACTACCAAGAGCCCATCCAGGAGCAGCGCGGGGAAGGGGTTCCGGCAGCTGGGGGTGGGGCGGGGGGACAGCAGCAGCGAAGAACAGCAAGGAAGGGAAGGCCCCCGGCACAGAAGTCAGGAAGCAGAGGCCACGGGGCAGCCGAGGAGCTCCTCAGACAGACCGGGGCGGAGGGGACAGGTGGAGCCGGACGGCACACGCGCAGAGAAGGGCAGGCCCCTCGGGTTCCCTGCTGGGCTGAGGAGCGGTCCCGTGAGGGAGATGAGCGGAGCAGCTGGGTGGCACACAGGCCCAGGGCTCGGGAGGGCGACTCGGGGCAGAAGTGCAGGGTGACATCGCTGGTGTGGTCGTGGTCACTCAGGAGAAGGACAACTGTGGGACGCTGCCCCTAGACCTCCAGTGAGGGGACCAGGAAAAAGATCACGCTGAAGATCTTACGACCCAGGAGAGGTCAAAGGAAAACAGAGCAGGGAAAATCTAAAAGTCAAAGGAGGTGTGCAGGAAGAAGGAGGGACTGAGAACGTCGAGGGCCACAACGGGTGACTTCGCCAGGCGGGCACGAAGACACACTCAGCGGGGCCCTTGCTGACCGCGGTGGAGGAAACCACTGGGGCGCGGCAGCCCGGGCTTGAGGTCGTTCAGGGACTGAAGGGTGCCTGGGACCCGAGGGGTCGTATTAGACACACATTCCCTCAAAGCCCGTCTGCGAGCAAAGGCAGAGTGGTGGTGGGAGCAGGGCAGTAGACAGGGACCCGCTTCCGGGGTCCAGAGACAAGCTCCCCCGCCCCGGGCGAGAAAGGGACGCAGCAACTGGCAGGAGCTCAGAGCACGGGACGGCTGACCTGGCTGGCCCGAGGCGGCCGCCACTCTGGGCTGGGCCGAGCCTCTCCCACAGGGCGGGAGAAGGGCGGCACAGGTGGAGGCGGGGGGCTCTCTCTGGGGGAGGATGCAATGCCAGGACCTGAGCGTGTGCACTCCCCAGAGAGCCGAGACCCTCGGTCAGGAGTGAGGGGCAAGCACTGCCGGGGCGGCGCCCCCGACCCAGGGCCCTCCGCAGTCCGCAGGCCGCAGGCCGGGTGACTGCGCTCCAGTGAGTGTGCGGCACAAATGAGGTGGGGAGCTGGCCCTCGGACTCTCGTGGCCACTCGGACTCACTTCCAGACCAAGGAAGGCCTTGGGGCGAGGCTCTCACGCACAGACCAAGGGGTCCAGACCAGAAGCAAACAAGAGGAGACTGGTGTTGGACAGACTGGCGCTGGGCAGACAGAGGAGCCAAGTTCAAGGGCTCCATGCAGGACCGTGGGTCTAAAGCAGTGAGAGCAGAGACTGGTTTGCACAGAGGGGGCTGAAGACCAGGACGATGGGGTGGTTCTCGTGGACAAGTTTCAGGATCTTCTCGCAGGATGGTGGTGGGACTTGGAGTAGAGAGAAAGAACTACACACAGAGAAATGGACTTCTGGCAGTAGGAAAGACTGAGCAACTTGAAAACAAGGGGAGGTCTGACAGTCTGGGGGAAGGTGCATGCCACGCCCCCCGTGGAGCAGGGTTCCCTGTACACATCAGCGGGCTACTAAAGCTGGGGGGGGCGGGGGCTGCAGAACGCTCGGACAGCGGAACCATTTCTCCAAATAAGTCCCACGACCTGTTTCAGAGTCCCCTACAATCCGGATCTACGATGATCAGGACTTAGTATTGGCCTCAGCCCGCTCCAAAATTCTGAAACACGCACGAAATGAGAAATTTTGACTCTCTTCCCGTAATAATGTAATCCTTAATAGTTCAAAATCACCCCTGTCCACACACTACAATAAACAGCATTTTAGAGTGGCTTTTAGATAATCGGAAATTCAACGTAAGTGAATAGAGTCACAATGAAATTTGTAGGTTTCATACCTCTATTTTTTCTTGCTCCTCGAGGGCCAAAAACACAGCTGCTCGGAGCTCAGCCTTTAAAACACAAAAGGGTAATGGAACAAAAACTGCTTCGAGACCATTCTCATGACAAGAAAGGTACACACGCAAGTTCCACGGGCGCCGTCCACACCCGCGAAACCCCAAGCGCAAACCGGCAGGACAGTGACGCCCGCGGACAGGTGCGGCGGCCGGACCGCAGCCGGGACTCGCTGGCGTCCCCAGCGCCACCCGCCGGTGAAGTCCCGCTCCCGCGATCGCGCCCGCCGGTCCCACAGCGTCTGGAAGCCGGTTCCGCGAACGCGCCACCGCCCCGCCCCCACGACAGCCAGCAGCCCCCGGCATCCCACGGAACCCGGGACTTGGAATGACCCTGACACCCGACCCCGCCCGCGGTCCCGCCCCCGCTCCGGCGGCCAGCCCAACGCGCCCCCGGCCCTTCGTGGCGCCCGCCGTCCACCCAGGCCCCGCGGCCCGCTCGCCGTCCCCTCTGCCGGGCTGCCGGACTCCCGCCCCACCTTGATGCGGTTCAGGACCCCGCTGTTCTCCAGCGTCTGCACCAGCAGGTCCCGCAGCTCCGTGTCCTCCTCCGCCACCACCGGGGCCGCCGCCGTCGCCGCCATCTTGCTTCTCCAGGACAACCGCCCAAGCCACGCCAACGGCCAACGCCGCCCGCGCCGAGGATCCCAAAGGGCGGGCGGACCTAGACCACGCCCCCCAGGCCTGGCGCGCAGCCGCCTTCACACCGGGGCGGGGCCCAGCGGCGCAGGTGGACGAGGGGTGGGGGCGGGGCCTCTGCGGCAAGCGGGGAAACTTTATTTCCTGCAACCAGCTGCACCGCGGCCGGCGCAGCGCCGCTGCGGCACAGCGCAGTAGCGATGCAGCGTGGCTGGCAGACCGGCACGGCCGGGAGGCTGCCCTGGGCCCAGCCCCCTCTGCAGGGAGGCAGCCCCTCCCCGCTCCGCTCCCAGCCGGCTTCCGTGACTCAGCTCCCGAAAAACGCCGCATTCAGTGGAAACTGTGCGCCCCCGCCAGAAGGTGTCTGATTGGTCAGAACAGAGCCGCTCTGATTGGCCAGAGCTGGCAGCCTCGGAGGGGAAACGTCAGTCCTATTGGTTGAACTCCTCCAGGAAACCTCCCACTGAGCCCAGCTGTCACGGCGGCGGAGCGGGCGGCGGGTCGGCGCGGGCGCTGCTGAGTGTGCGGTTGGCAAAAGGCAGCGAGGCTCTGCTTTCTTCTTCTTCTTTTTTTTAAGCCACTAGGAGCCCTAAGTACGCGTGTCATCTTCTTTTTTTTTCCTTTTACGAGTTTACTGTAGCCTGAGTTGACTGGTTTATTTCAAAGACAAGATCAGGTTTCTGGCTGACATTCTCCACTAATTTAATAAGTTCTTTTCAGCTTTAAGGTTTTCAGTGAAGTATATTTAAAGCATGTCTACAATGTATAAGAGCAGAGAATAGATTCTTTATAATTATTTGAACTTAGGATAAAAATGTTTAGATGTTAGCTTACAAACGTGTTCACAGGTTTTCAAAACCATTTTGGAAATGTGAGGGCAAAACCCTTTGAAGTCGCCCTGGCTGGTAGCTCAGTGGATTGAGCACAGGCCTGCGAACCAAAGGGTCGCTGGTTGGATTCCCAGTCAGGGCACATGCCTGAGTTTCGGACCAGGTCTCCCCCAGTAGGGGGCACACAAGAGGTAACCACACGTTGATGTTTCTCTCTCTCCCTCCCCCTCTCTCTAAAAATAAATCAATAAAATCTTAACAACAACAACAAAAACCCTTTGAAGTCCACTGCCTGTGTCACAAATGCCACCCCTGGTTGGGCTGGTTTCTGAAAGTGGGTCAGTGGGAGGTGCCAGTGGGAGGTGTTGGGGCATTCGAAGCCAGAAGGTCTAGCAGGGGTGCCCAGCCCATGGGCTGCATGCGTCTATGAATGCGGCCCCACACCAAATTGTAAATGTACTTCAAACATGATGAGATTTTCTTGTGATTACGTGTCTCAGTGTATCTAGTGTGGGGGCCAGAACAACTCTTCTTCCGGTGTGGTGCAGAGACACCAAAGGTTGGACACCCCTGATAAAGCTTTGGTTCTCAATGGGGGCGACCTTGCTCCTCAGGGGGCATTTGCAATGTCTGGAGACACTTGGTTGTCGTAACTTGGGGGTGCTCCTGGCATCTGGTAGGAGAAGCTGGCAGTGCTACTTGACACCTGCCGGTGCACAGGACAGCCCCCACCCCAGCAAAGGCTGCAGGCACGCCCATGCAAGCGTTACCTGGCCCACAAGAGTCAGTAGCGCTGAAAAGTGAACCCTGCCAGGGCCCAGCCTCGGCGGGGTCTCAGGGTCCCTGGAGGATGCACGGCTCAGGTGAAGGGAATGAAGAAAGACACCCGGTGGGGTGCCGGAGGACAGCCAGGCTTTTGGGGTCTGACTGACTCACCGAGAAAAATGAATCTTTATTTTTATAGGGGAGGTGATACAACATTCAATGCATAGTGTAATTCTTAAAACAGAAATGGTTACCACGGAAATAATTTCAAAAAGTACAGAAGGTTTTACAGATCAATCATGTTGAACAAAGAAACAACCAAAAGGTACAGGAGGTCCCACAGATCAACCATGGTAAACAAAGGTTGTTTTGACCAAGAGGGTCATCAGTCAGATAGCCAACGAAGCTATACGGGCACAGACTTTCAGTAACTAGGTTACTTAATTAGTAACTAGGTGTCTATTAAGATTCTAGGGATTGGTCTAAGTTAAAAGGTGCAAGGGGTGACTTATAGGTTATATAGAAATTGGCTATTGTCCACTGAGGTTAGATTTGTCTCGGTTAGGTATCTGGGTTTTTTTGCCTGGGTTTTTTGATTCATATATCTTGTGGTGGGGCATGTTTTGTGTTTGTTTCCATGTATTGGGATTATTATTCTCAACTAGAACTCCTTGCTTCTTTGCACTCCTGTCCAGGGTATGGGAGGGGTAGTGGCTCTAATAAATCTTAAGCTTTTAAGTGGTGATTCTTTAAGAAACATTCCTAGCAACAGCTTCCTTCAGTGGTCTGGCAGCTGGTCTGCCCATAGTTTAATTTTGTCCTTAACTTCCCAGGTGGGGGAAGCAGGCAGCATTAGGGTTGCTAGGGGTCTCTGTTCGGTGGTCAGCAAGTCATTTCGAGCAGAATCAGAGGCATCATGCAGATGTTTTGTTGTAACACACAGGCATCTGAAAACCTCACCCCTATTGCTAGCAGGGACAGGCATACAGGAGGAGACAGACAAGAGATCCGGCCACAGTCTCCTCTGCTGTGCAGACATGTCTCATCCGACCTGACCTGACTGTGTCAAAGGTCAGCTGTTGGTCAGCTCCCGACAGAACCCTAATCTTGAGGGTCAATTTTATTCAATACTAAGCTATTTCAAAAATCGTTTTAATGTTAAATAAAAAGCGATTCTAAAAAATCTAAGCTAAAACGACAAAATTCAAGAACACTCAGTTCACAACCTGGCGTCCTTGATGCGGATGTAGGTGTGTTGACCTCACCAAATCTCGACCCTGGGCCTCGGGTTGTTACCTCCTGGGGGGTCACGCAGGGGGCAGCCGGCAGACAGGCCGGCCCCTGGGACTTGGGTCCTGTGGACAACACTGCTTCCAAGCTGAATGCAGTCAGTCTTCACTTCAAGGAAACCCACCTACGGTGTTTGCTGCCCACCATAAAGTCAGAGTTTCCAAGTGAAAACGTAGGAAAGCTGGTGTCGGCCGCGTCACGGTCTGTGGACGCGTCTTCGGGCGAGGCCAGCGGGATGTCAACGGAGGGGAGCTGGTGCTGCTGGGAGTGACGCGAGCCGCCACTGGGAGGCTGCGGCGGGTGAGTCAGCCAACCGTCGTTTCCCAGGGCCCCTTCCCGCTGCGCAAGTCCCACCTGCTGTCGGCGGCTCCTCCTGCGCCCTAGCAACCACCACCGATTCGGCGGCTTCCTACCACACGGTCACCTTGCGGTTCTGTGGCCCGAAGTCTGACACGGCCTCCCGGGGCTAAGGTCGGGGTGCCGCCCCAGCCCGCGTGCCCCGCCCCCCGGAGGCTCCAGGGGAGAGTGTGTTCCCTTCTGTTTTCCTGCCTCTGAAGGCCCCCACCTCCCCCGGCTCCTGGAAGTCCTTCCGTCTCCGAGAGCAGCAACGTGGCATCTGTCTCTCTTGTGTCTCAGGATTCCTCAGCGACCCTCCCAGGTTGGGGGGGCGGGGCAGGAAGAGGATGTCTTTGGAGGCCGTAACTCTGCCTGCCCCGCGTGGACAACACGTGAACTCAGATCCCAGGGAGAGCCGTGGGCCCTAAGGGGGAGGCCTGCAAAGGGTTCCTTGGTGTCGGTGGTTCCAGATGCCACGTTCCTGCTGACCTGTTATGAAGTTTAGAGTTTTTGTCTAGCATCTGAAAGGCCACAGAAACACTCCCCCCTCCCCAACCACGTGTCTGCGTGGGCCCGAATGTGGCTGATACGCTGCGTAACCAAGCAGCCTATCAACCAGGCAGAAGCAGACCCGAGAGTCCAGTTTCCGTCCATGAAAGCGGACATCGCCGCGATTCACCAAAATGTAAAAACAAGGCCACTCTTCCCACTGTGACAGGACGTAGCTGAGCAGTAGCCATTCTTAGGCAGGAGCTGACCAGCAGCCGTTCCCAGACCAGCAGTCATCTCAAGGTCGTAGGCTAATCCCCGCTTTTAGCAGCCACACTCCTTCCCTCTTCCTTCTGCCTGTGTGACAAGCGTATAAGGAAACCCCAGCTTGAGCTCAATGCCCGGAATTTGGAATTTTATCTCCTCTGGGTCCGTATGGGTGAAGAAACTCCACTTCGTAAACTCCCAGGCCGTCCGAGTCGTCTTTTCCGTAACACCACTACTTTTATTTTCGTTTGGGGAAATATAGTAAATTTTTATTAAAAAATATGTTGTTCATGTTTATGCATAATGGGCTGACCATTGTTTCTAAATTAACATGTAAATGTTTTAAAAGTTCAGTTTTAGTCCTGGCTGGCGTAGCTCAGTGGATTGAGCACGGGCTGAGAACCAAAGTGTCCCAGGTTCGATTCCCAGTCAGGGCACATGCCTGGGTTGCAGGCCATAATCCCTAGCAACCGCACATTGATGTTCCTCTCTCTCTCTCTCTCTCTCTCTCTCTCTCTCTCTCTCTCTCTCCCCCCTTCCCTCCCTAAAAATAAATAAATAAAATCTTTTTTTAAAAAGTTCAGTTTTAACGTCAACTAAGGCAACTATATTGTCAAATATAACACAGAGAAACAAAAGTTCTTCGGACTCCTCGAGGGTGTTGAGGATGCAAGGGCCGCTGAGACCGGAATGTCTGAGAACTGCGCTCGGTCAGAGCAGAGAGGCCCCTGGCTGGGCCGGTGAAGTCACGTGCCAGCACGACGCCAGAAGGACCTGGAACCACCCTTTTGCATCATTTCCAAGGTGTACGGACCATTTCTGAAATATTCCCCAGCACCGCCACGGTCCGGGGGGCGGGGGTCAAAGTGCACTCGGACTCGGGGCTCTCACCGGGCTCACCCTCCTGGAAGCTGCCTCCGTCGGCACATGCTGAGCTGCCCACGGCCTCACCTGCCTCCTCCGGGAAATGGGCGCAGACACCTGCTTCATCTCCTGGCGGGGTTGTCGGAAGACCCAACAAGATAATTTAAAGGAAACGTTTTCTAGTCCAGAAATCGCACGTGCAGGGAGCTCTCTGTGGACCAACTGCCTGTGGCCGAGTGGGGGACGCAGGCCAAAGCAACGAAGAAGCAAATGCCTATGAAATGCCCGCCCTGGTCGCAGGCAAGCATCACAAGGCACAGCCCTGTCCTGAGGGGGGCATCACTTCGTCTTAGGGGTCAAGTCCGCGTGCAAGGGCGTGTTGTCCGTGGCTTAGCCCATGAGGCAGAGGAGGGCTCAGACTCGGAATGCAGAGAGAGACGAAGGAGTCTGCGTTCAAGACAAAGATGAAGATGCA